GAGACTCTAAACTTCAGAGCACTGCACCGCAGTCTGTACGGCCTGTGACAGTTGACTGCACCAAACGCTAAAGCAGAGACTCTAAACTTCAGAGCACTGCACCGCAGTCTGTACGGCCTGTGACAGCTGACTGCACCAAACGCTAAAGCTGAGAACCTCAACTTCAGAGCACTGCACTGCAGTCTGTACGGGCCTGTAAAAGCTGACTGCACCAATAACTAAGCAGAGCAGACATTCAATTCAAGACCTTCCAAATTAGGAAGAGGACAAATCTTATTAAAGGTCTTCAGTGTTCAACAGTAGTAAAATAATGTTTACATTTTAAGCATCTAGAGATCACTCATAATCGAAGAATCTGGATTACATAACTGAATGGTCCTAACAAATTAGAAAAAGCAGCAGTGTCACTCCCTGCAGCTGGTTACCACCCTCAGACAGCGCTCAGATACTCGATCCCTCTGCACTACTGTTATTGTAACACTTCTCAGCGTGTAAGCAAATTTGGAATTAGAAAAATTACCACCGAGAACCACTACTTAAGGGACTTCTAATTTACTTTTTTGGCAGGTAAATGAGGTATGCACAATATCTAGTTACATACAAATAAGTAACAACAAACAGTATTATTAAACTCTACTTGATACCCCACCCTGAGGCTATGAAGGACTACAGGGAAAGGGTCTGGTACAGAAGAAAAGAGCCTTTCTTCAGGCTAGTGTCCTGGAAGAGAAAAGATCCAGTATAAACAATTAATGAATAGCTCAAGGTTGACAGAATTACACACTGGCATTTGTGAACTATACTTAAATGGTGAAGAGTTCAAAGAAAGAAAGTAGATATTGTAAGAAATGCCAAGTAACTTAAATTCAGAGGAGAAAAAGGCCAGTGATACAGAGAACTCTAAGGATTTAAGGCTCTTGCCAGACTCTAACATCCAAGGAAGCAAGTATGGAATCATCAGCACATAACTGAGGCTTTCTCTGTGAGGTACTTAGTGGGGAGACTCAGTAGGAGTTTCCAAAACATTTGTACAGATAGGCTTAAAAAAATTAAGCTGAAATGTATTTGTGCTGAGGAAGGGAAAGCAAGGGTAACTGTAAAACAGAGTGGCCCAAAGTGTGCATGAGTCTATCAGATAACATGGTTAGTGCTTCAGTCAGCTGGAGTGAAGAGAGCCCCGACCTCACCCGTCATAGGTAAAGCCTTCCTGACTTGGATTCAGTGATATCTGCTACCTTCTCCCACCCAGCCCTGCAGGCACACCTGTGACACACCAACTGTAGGTGAGCAACAGCAGCCTTCTTCCACCTTCAGGGAGGATGCTGAATTTAGCTTCAGTCTAACATCCAGACACTTCAACAAACACAAAAAAGGTGTCTGCTCCTAGCACTAACAGAGTTTAAAATCCAGCATTTTGATTCTGCCATTGATTCATTATGGGAAGCAAGGAATAGTCAGATTTTATTTTCTCCATCTTAAGAGCAAAATATTCTTAGGAGTGAGTTACTATATTAAAGTGGCATACAATTGAATGCATTAGGTCTTATAGATAAAATTATTTGGGCTTGAGACATGCAAGTTATTTTATATTAATATTATAATTTTATTTTAAGGTAAGAAATACATAAATAAAAATTACCTGAGGATTTGGTGTTGAATTTCCTTGGGTATTAGCTGAATTTGGTATTCCCTAAACAAAAGAAATAAGGAAGCAGTTTAAATTTCCAGTTCCTCCCCAAAGGCAGCAGATTACAACTAATGTATAAAAACATTTCTACAGATTTCTTCCTTATTCCATTTAATTTTAAAAATTTACATCTTGGGCAGCGCCTGTGGCTCAGTGGGTAGGGTGCCGGCCCCATATACCGAGGGTGGTGGGTTCAAACCCAGCCCCTGCCAAACTGCAACAAAAAAATAGCTGGGCACTGTGGCAGGTGCCTGTAGTCCCAGTTACCTGGGAGGCTGAGGCAAGAGAATCGCCTAAGCCCAGAAGCTGGAGGTTGCTATGAGCTGTGTGATCTGGCAGCACTCTACCGAGGGCGATAAAGTGAGACTCTATCGCTACAAAAAAAAAAAAAAAAATTTACATCTTAACTCTGACTCAAATGCTTCACATATTTAATTTGTCACTTATTTTTGAAAAGTCTAGCCCTAAACTTTAAAGACTATCACAAAATTTAACCCCTAAGCTTTAAAATGATGGAAAATTATACAAGGGAAAAACCAAGGACTAGTTTTTTTTTTAAACAATTAGACACAAGGATTAGACTTAGTGCAACTGATTTCTTATCACTTTGAATCCAGACTTCGTGATGACAGTTCCACTTTTGTGGTATTTCAAATTAGACTTTGTATTCCCGAACTGTTCAAAGAAAGCAGCTTTGAGTGGTGTGCTCATGATTAAAAATAATAGCTACAGTATTATTTCTAAGTAGAACTTGAGAAATAAGCCAACAGATAATAACATATTTTAGAGAATAAGAATTAAATGCCTTGCAAATTCAAATAAAGCTGCTTAATACAAATCTGCATATGTTATCGTTTACACTGTTTCTCAATACTGGAATTTTTGAACTCAGCCATTCCGGCTTCTAAAATTCCACTTTTAAACACGCATTTGTAAACAAATATAGGCCTTGAAGATCACATGTGAGACAAGCATCTAGCAAGATTTTAACACCAAAAAAACTAGGACACTGTTTATCTTACCTGACCAGGCTTTTTGTTTGCAGTTGTTGCAGCCTGTTCCACAGTTTTGGCTTTTTTCTTTTCTTTTTTCTTTTCCTTGTCAGCAAAAGTGCCACGCATTTTAGATATTATATCTGAATCTGTTTTTGCATACTGGATTCGCTGTTTTAATTATTTGAAAATAGGTTACTTCTCATTATGCTGAAGGCTGTTTACATTAGTCATTAATATTTCAAATTTCATTAAGGAAATATACTGCGGGCTAATTTTAAACACATCCCTAAGGAAATCTGTCAAATTATGCTGAATGCCAAATGGAAATAAATCACAACTTAGATAAAGTCAGGTTCAATTGTGTTTATTAGAAGAGAAATCATACATCTTCATATGGGAAAAGCAGGACTTTGAAATATCTGTACCACTGCTTCTCTCCATTTAATAAAAGAGAGAAAACTGCAGTAGAAAGCTGTATTCCCCTTACCTGTGACCTTCAACGGAAGGGTCAACGTGTGTCAATCAGCAGTGGAAGGTGTACAATAGAATTTATTACTTACAATGGTTAAAGTACAGAAGACCAGGAATGACTTTCCTTTGAATTTACCTTTACATGGAATGACTTTAATAGTGGAATCAGCTTGAAACTTTAAAAAGCTTTTAAGGAAACAAAAGGATGGCATCACAGGCAGTGAGACCGGGCTGCTTGCTCACTCCCTACACTAGAACCAGGAGAGGCAGGCACCCTCCTGCAACACAGAAGCATTCAGACCAGCCAAGGACAGCGCTTCATCCATTGCCACATAGCTAGACTTAACACCAATCAACTGTCCAAATATTTTTGCTCTGAGTTAATCTGCTATCTAGGGTGTGACTAATGCAAACTCCAACTTCCATTCTAAGCAAACGCTTTTTTCTCTGGAACTGAAAAAATTACTGCCTTTCCGATCACACCTGTTTCAAAACACAATAATCCTACAAATAACTACCTAAAATTGCCTTGCATAGCAAAAATTGGATCTGGTCTGAAGATAAGAGATATTTTAAAATAGTGGATTAACAAAGCAATTTGTTAAAACCAGGAGTAATCTTCTTTTCCTTTACTTCATTCAGCGACAGATGACAGATGAATGCACTGGGGAAACGAGGGGGGAGAGAGCGGGCCTAGCACTGCACCTCAGAACCCCAGGCTTTTCCTGGCTGGTCTGGGCTACTGTACCACAGCCCTCTAGACGTACTTCCCCTACAAGCAACTCTGCTAGTCTGGCCACCATCATCTAACGAAAAAGAGATAGGCTGACAGCTCAGAGAAACTCCCGACTTGATCCCAAGGACTCCCTGTCACCTCCCTTGGGTCTGCAACCTTGCCCCAAACCTGAACAGGCTTTCAGTGACCAAATTTGTCTGTCCTTATGCCCCACTCACCTGTGAGAATACCTGATCTCATCAACAGCTCTTAGTTAGCTGGCTTAAGTCAGAAGTTCTCAGCCAGAGGTGACTTTGCCTGCGAGGGGACAGTTGGCACTAGCTAGAAGCAATACTGGTTGTCATCTATTGGAATCTAGTGGGCAGAGGCCAGGGATGCTGTTAAACACCCCAAAATGAACAGGACAACCCCTACAACAAAGAATTTTTCAGTTCCAAATGTCAAAAGTACCCAGGTTGAGAATTCTGCTCTACATTAAATACTCAGAGGAGATAAAAGTCAACCCACAGCTTAAAGACAGATAAGGGCAAGATTTACATTTATACCAAAGGTTTCATGACAAACGCCTTTGGAAAGAAGACTCTACTTAACTAAGGTATTTTGGGCGTTAAATAACTAAATGTCCTTGAATCACAGAAAGTAACATTGTTCTGAGTTCCAAGTTATTGCAAATTTTGTTCATTTTGGATCTGGTATGTTGGAGTTAAAACCTAATAGCTCCAGAAGGTCAAAACTACATTTTGAAAAAATAAAAACAGATTAAGGGCAACTAAAACCACCTAAATAAACATAGAGATAGTTCAAAAGAATTTTATTCCCCCTCTTCCAAAATGCTGGAGATTTAAAAATACTGTTACCTTCCTGAAGAAAAAGAATGGACCTCTTCAAATAACTTCAATACACTCTGATTTTAAACAATGTTTAGATGGCAAGCTGAGGCTTACGTTAAACACAGCAAACAATTTTTACCTTTCCGTATCTGAGTAACAGGCATGTGTAAACTTGTCATTTTGACTCAGCAAAACAGCCCTAAAACTCTCCAAGGGAAGAAATTGCATCTTTTTGTTAAAGTAATTTTAGAGCTAAACTAAAACAAGGTTTTAGGCTCCTGCTAACCAAAATCTCAACTTTGCTATTTCTTTATGCTGCTAAGAGATCAGCTGGTTTCAGGAAATGCCAATTTAGGGCATGTAGGCACCATCCTAGTTTCTGGGATAGGCTTTTTCACAGAAATGGTGTCTAGTAAGCTGGGATGGGATGGAAAAATGACAGCTGGATAAAGGATAAGAAAATTGGCCCCTATAAGACATAAAAGGTCCTCAGTCCTGATCTAAACCCTACAAAACAGAGGCCCTCCAACTACTCCTGAAGCCAACACTGTCCTTTCTTACAAATCAGCCACACCCACTCATTTACATACCATCTGAGGCTGCTTTTCTTGCTATAAAGGTAAATTTGGGTGAGTGACTACAACAGAGATTATCTGGCTTTCAAAGCCTAACATGTTTACTATCTGGCCCTTTACAGAAACTTGCTTACTCACAATATACAAAAAAAAAAAAAAAATCACAACAGTAGGTATTGGGAGATTAGCTGTCAAGTCCTGATGCGGCCACTAGTTGTATTAACATAACATAATGGTAATGGATGTACAATTAACCTTTCCGTGCCTGATTCCTCATGTCTAAGATGAAGGGATTAGATCACTGGTCTGCACTACAGCCTGTGGCCCCAGTCCTGTCCATAGCCTACTTAGCATATCCTGTAAGTTTTTATGTCATTGTAAAGGGTTGGTTGTTAAACACATATAAGCAAAATAAGAGGTAAAAGGAACTGTACGTGACCACAGAGCCTGAAATATTTATTTTCTGGTCCTTTACCGGTTTTGCCGAGACCTGAATTAGACCAAAGAATATCCAGTCTGCTTATGCTTTAGAGATGGTAAAACTGACCACAGACGTAGAGTTGGTTAATGGCAGAACTAGAATAGAAACTCAGATCCTCCACCAGGTTACCAGGGGTGGGGAACCTGTGACGCAGGGCCACATGTGGACTGCTAGCAGGCTGAGTGTGGCCTTTTGACTTAACCCAAATCATTGTAATCTCAGAAGAAAAGCAG